AGGCATGCGCCACCATGCCTGGCTAATTTTTTGATTTATTGTAGAAATGAGGTCTCACCAGGTTGCCCAGGCTGGTCTTGAACCCCGGGGGTCAGGCAGTCCTCTCACCTTTGCCTTCCAAAGTGCTGGGATTATAGACATGAGCCATGGTTCCTGGCCTGAAATTACTTTTAAAGATGACTCTCCCTTCATGCCTTATTTGATTGGTGCTGTAACTGCTCATACAGTTTCAACTTCAGTTATTGTACCCCAAAGTTACCTCAATAATTTATCAAGTCAATAAGCCTCTGTTATGTGTCCAACACTACTGTGAAGCCATCAAACCAAGTACTTGACCTTTCACTTCTTTTTTTGTTTGTTTTTTTTTAGTAGAAGTCTCACTTTGTCACCCAGGCAGGAATGCAGTGGCATGCTCATAGCCACCGCAGCCTCAACCTGCTGGGCTCAGGTGATCCTTCTGCCTCAGCCTTCCAAGTAGCTAGAACCACAGGCATATGCCACCATGCCTAGCTAATTTTTTTATTTATTGTAGAGACAAGGTCTTGCCAAGTTTTCCAGGCTGGTCTTGAACCCCTGGACTCAGGCAAGCCTCCTGTGTCCGCCTCCCAAAGTGCTGGGATTACAGGCATGAGCCGCCGTGCCCGGATGACCTTTCACTTTTTAAAGACAACACACTATTGAAGTCTGTTCTTCCATACTGGTACAGTGACATGCTTGGTTAATTTCACAAAAGGGTGTTCTGAAGAATATCTCTAGACAAGTACTTTGGTAGTGAGTTGTGGTTCCCAGACCTACGCTCAGGCACCTCTTCTTTTTTCCATCATGATATCTTCCCACCGGACTTATCTCCTAGAAATTTTACTGAGTTTAATGTGGCACCCAAGGTAGATTAGGGCTGCATGGAAATGAACCTCTTCTCTGTTCGTCTCTCTGGTGAATTGTCAGCTCAGACATAACTGGAGAAGCTTCCTTCTTGAGTCCTGTTCCCTTCCTCAGTCCACCCTGGTGACAGTGTCTTTCAGGGTGCTGATTTTAAATACACCAGCCTGACATTAGCAGTGCTCTCCAGGCTAATACAACACTCCTGATTGGAACAGATGTCATTGAGATCCAGAAATTCCCTCCTGCCCTGCTCTGTCTTAGCCAGGCAACCCTGGAATTCTGATGTAGGTTTCCCTCCTCACCAGAGCCAAATCACTTCCTCTGCCTAGATGGCATCTTCCTAAATTTGTTTGACTTTGCTGTTATTAATTTTAACTAGCTTGGGTCTCCCTGGCCCCACCTGAGTAGTAGTTTCCTAGTGACCAGATGACACTCACTTTAGCTGGCCTGGCTTGCTCTGTGTCCCGAAGCTTGGGTCACTCTTCTGTTGACTTGCCCGTCTACAGTCTCTTTCTTGCCCACTGACCTGAGGCCGCTATCAAGCCCAAGTGTCTGTGACTTTTGCCTCTAGATTGACAACTCTACTGCTGGGAATCCAGAGGAGGGGGACGCCAAAGGCGCCACCGATTCTGTGTCCTAGAGTGGGGGAGGTGAGCAGAGTCATCCGCAATTAGCGGATAATTAGCGCCGCTGACCCTTGGGGCTCATCAGCGCTCCCGGGGCCAGCCCCCAGCAATCAGCCAGGGCAGGTCGTGAGTGTCAGGCCCGGGAATGAATAGGGCTCATCAGCAGCGCTGGAGCCGGGGAGCCAATCAGGGAAATTAATAACAGAAGAGAGGGAGAGCGAGGGAGGGAGACAGCTAGACAGACAGACAGACAGACAAGAGATATAGATAAAGACCAGAAACGAGGAAAAATAGAGTAAGGGGGAATGAGAGGCGGGAAATAACTAATCAAGCAGGAATAGAAACCAGGGCCGGAAAGGGCAGCAGAGTGGGAGGGAGGAAGAGAATGTAAAGGATGGGGGAAAGATGGAGGGGAAAGGTGAGAGTAATGGTGAGTACTTGGCAGAGTGTGGGCACTCGAGGAAATCACTCAGAGGGGCGAGCAAAAGGCGTTGAGGGGAGCTGGCGCCGGAGGGGGAATGAGAAAGACGGGCAAGGGCCGATGCCGAGAGAACGGAGGCCCGCGGAGAGAGTGCGACGGGGCGAGACCGCGGGGAGAGCGCGGCCCCCCGCCGCCGGGCAGGGCGGGCGGAGCGCGCCCCCTGCCGTCTCCCCTCGCCGCCCTCACGCCGCGGTCCTCGCCGAGCGGGCGGCGGAGGTGCCGGCCCGCCGCCCGCCGCGGCTGGCTTGGTGGCTTTCCACGGCGTCCACTCCGTGGCCCGGGAAGGGGCCGTCGGGGCGGG